AGAGAGTGACGAGACAGCGACGGTATGACACAGGGACAGCGTGTGACGAGACCGCAACGGTATGACACAGGGACAGAGAGTGACGAGACAGCTACGGTATGACACGGGGACAGCGTGTGACGAGATAGCTACGGGATGACACAAGGACAGCGTGTGACGAGACAGCTACAGTATGACACAAGGACAGCGTGTGACGAGACAGCTACGGTATGACACGGGGGCAGCGTGTGACGAGATAGCTACGGGATGACACAAGGACAGCGTGTGACGAGACAGCTACAGTATGACACAGGGACAGCGTGTGACGAGCCAGCTACGGTATGACACAAGGACAGCGTGTGACGAGACAGCTACGGTATGACACGGGGTCAGCGTGTGACGAGATAGCTACGGTATGACACAGGGACAGCGTGTGACGAGACAGCTACGGTATGACACGGGGGCAGTGTGTGACAAGGCAGCTTAAGGTACATGTATGACACAGGGACAGTGTGTGACGAGACACCTACGGTATGACACAGGGAAGTGGATTTCATTAAATTTTAATTCTCTGTTAATACACAGAAATACTACTTCAAACAGACGACCATGCGTTATCTAACGCGTACAGGGGCATCTGCAGGTTTCGGGTTTTGTTCTGTTCTGTGGGAGATACTGCCCCGATATATCTTCGTGTTGTCTTTTCTTGTGTCCGTTTGGCTCCTGATGTTTGAGCATTGAATTTGGTTTCCGAATTTGGCATTATGAGCTATAATGCTAGAGTATAATTGTTTTATTGTATCAAGATATATTTGAATTGGTAAGACTTGCAGTCTTATAGCTATCCTGTTTTCCGCCTCCTCTAATATGACCTTATTTGAGCGACCTGTGACCTCATAATATATCCAACATTGTCAAAAAATTTGTGTTAATATGTGACTTCCTTCTCCCACATAAACACATGTTTCCTTTGGAATGCACACACATTATTTTTGTCTATTAACCATTCTGTCTCAGAACAAAACTCGACATTAACGTTTCAAGGAGATGGTATCGGGCTATCTGTACTGGGACGATACACCGGAACATCTAAAGGATCGGAGGGTCGTTTTTTGACCGTGTCTGTAGCACGTGGACCTAACTGAGTTAACCCTCTTCTGATGTCCTGCAAATTCGGTAGAACGCATCGTAATGGGGCCTTGTATCCCGGCGGGATGGGGCAGTTAGATACAAGCTTAGATACGGGACACGCCAATACTGCGCGTCAATTACAGAAAGGCGTACGCATGTTGATATGTTCATGCATAATCGTGCAATTTCGCCGTCTTCTGATGAACGAGTTTGAATCTGTCCTGCAGTCCACTGTTTGCATTCATCGATAATTTCTAATTGGTCTTAAACAATACTGGTTATATGTAACATGAGTTTTATTGAATGATGATCATTGCAGATCATTGATATTTATCCTGTGACTACATGCCTGTGGGAATCGTCCAATATGGTGTACACGTTTTGTACAACAAATATTAACACGACTTATTAGTGTACTTGAGTTTCTCTTGAGCAGGCGAACTTACTGGTGCCTTATTGATCAGCGCTGGTTTTATATTTACATTAAAGGTTGATGTGATACAGTTGGACACATACAGCGTTTACAGATTCAATTGATGGTTTAATTGTCGATCTCTCCTTGTATTGCAGCACGCACCGTTCAACTGACGATCTCATAAATCAGCTAAACCATTAACACTATTTGCAAGCAAGGAACATAACATGAAGACGCGGTCAATGACACTCGCATGTCCTTGATAATCATATCATGTGATCAAATAACGTGATAAATCACATGATTGAAACCTGTTGTTATAAGATATGATGGGGGTCACCGGTACTATACCGATCTTAGCATGTTGTTTGAACTATGAAAAGTAATGGTATTTGGATTAATAAATACATTACATAACGTTTGAATCGTTTTAGTTAGCAATATGGACGATCGAGTCCAGAAAGGGTTGCTTTCTATTGAACTTTGATAGCAATATCATGTTTTTTAGATTTTATCTCAGCCCCATGGTTTCCGTACAAATCACATTATATGAATACTTGATAATATTAATAAAAATATACATGGAATTTTTATTAGAAAATTAGGAATACAACTGGATTTAAATTTTATTACGGCATCGAAAACCAATATTGTTTTATCGGGATAAAAATCGGGGTTCTCTTCATGTTGTCTTTTAAAAGTGCACTTCTACTGGACGGTGTACAAATGTATATTACAATTCAATGAGAGACAGGTTGGCTGGTAACAGAAAAGAAAAAAAAATGCCATCAACAATGCTTAGGTCCGTTCCGATCGGATCGTGGTCAAATCGGCATCAGAGCCTAGATCACTAATGAAAATCTACTTAGTGGTGAATGGTTCTAAAGTATTGCACACGGATGCATGTCTTGACCTCTGACGTGCCGGTAACGTCGGCAGCTAATGGACCGACGTAAGTATATATAGGTAATTAAACATCGTCCGCCACATGTGCGCGGACTAATGGTTACTAATTGCTGGTCTCACAGACAGGGAATCTTTAATCTAAACCAGCCCTACATATAGATCAGATTTGTCAATACCGCTTACCCTTTTTATCGGGACTAATCTCGCTCGGTTATACCATCAATCTAAATGTAGGTCTTTTACTGTGGAGGTAAGTATTTAACATACAGACACATTAGTATTATAAGTATCTTTCCAAATCAGAATTGGTGAGAACAATCAGAACTCTTCATACCGTCAGAAAATAAAAGATGTTGATTTTAGACAGGACTTGATACTTCATCTCACCAATAATCGTTAACGCTGTTTTCTCACGTTACATTTTAATACATAAACCCGTGCGAAGCTAATCCGCGGGCAGCATGAGCTGGGGATATTGTTAATATTTGAAAGAATGTGTCACTTCTCTTGAATAGACAACCGAGGTTTATTGAAATAAGTCCACATCAGCTTGCGCCATCTGGTATAGACCTCACACGTGTGATATGCGCCCGATCGATTAGGTTTTCTATCCCATGTAACAAGTGGTCATGCACGTGTCCGAGCGTACAAAGTAATCCGGGCCCCGGGTCCCGCCCCAGCCCGGGAGGTTCCAAATGCTCATTTCAGGTTCTGCGTCTCACAGAAGCTGGTTTACGGTAGAAAATCCCCCTCGCTTGAAATACACACGGAGGGAGACCCCATCCCACGTTAGAAACACGATACAAGAAACGTGGTAAACGGATTTACATACACTCGACTGTTTTATCGTTTGTTGCTCGTTTGTCTTGTGGTTCGCACGCGCAGTGTATTGATCGCTGCGCGTGCCAGAAAATAAGTCAACCAAGCAAAGACGGGAAAAGAAGCGAGGTTCGGAACTAAATATTAACCAAAGTATTCCGGTTATTGTAGTCAAGCTCCATGAAGAAAATAACTTCGAACGGATAATAACACACCAAAAAATAGCCCGTTTAGCGAGCAATCGATAGTCGGGGTTCCTTTTGATGTCACACAACGGTGGGCCACTCATTGTGACCATTCGTTCAATCCATTTCATGCAAGTCTTTGAGAATGTAAATATTACGAGCGAAAAGTCAATTGAAATTCGCTCAAGCTGAAGTTGTCAATATGAAGATCGTGAGCGTATCAATGAACACAAATTTCCTAAGCCTTTCCTTGTGTTTGTATTTGTACATGGGATTGATTGGCATGTGTTCGCCGTCCCGTGTAGAACATAGATCTTGTGCTTACCGTCAGAGTAGGGGGTGGGGGTGGGGGTAATTGTTTCATAATAGCAGTAATTATAAAGTCGTTGAATATTGTTTGAATATGTAATATATGAATGCCTATTGAGATATATAGCGAGTTCAGTTCTGATGAAACATTGAATTGAATGCTGTGTGAATATATGTAAGCATGGACTACCGATATTGCGAAAGGAATATGAAAAAGGTTCACACATATAGTTGAATACTAATGGAAATTGATATTTATGGTTGATTATTGGGTTGAATTATGTTTGAATAGGTAAAATTTTGAAAATGATTTATTTTTAATATCTGAAATGAATATACATATATTTATGAAAATAAGGAATGAATATGTATAGTTGAATATTATATTAAGTTAGTGTTGTGACAATATGCAGGAGTTGAAAATGCATTATATCTTTGTTCTACATATCTATAGCATGAATGTATTAATAAATACAGTTAATGAGTATGTGGAGTAACATGTAAATATTGAATTGGGTATTGTGTCAATATACAGGAGTTGAATATGCTATATTTCGTTATTTTACAAATCAAGTATGAAAATATCAGCGAATATATTTGATGAATATGTAGAGTTCAATAATGATTTGAATGTTGTGTCAATATGCAAGAGTTGAATATGATTGATTCCGTTATTCTACATATCTAGTATGAATATGTTAATGACTTCTTTTATTTTTGCTGTCATTATTATTTGTAGAAATATGATTGGGAATGATTGCGTACTAGTTGATTGAATGTGATGTAGGAGTTGATTGAATATGATGTAGGAGTTATTGAATATGATGTAGGGGTTGATTGAATAGGATGTAGGCGTTGCTTGAATAGGATGTAGGGGTTGATTGAATAGGATGTAGGCGTTGATTGTATAGGATGTAGGGGTGATTGAATAGGACATGCATTGCAGTTGTTACTATGGAGTCTGCATACGTGTCGTTGGTGAGTAGAAAGCTTATATTTTGGGGCAGCTGAAGGAAGTGCTAATACTTCTACCACAGAGTATTAACCTCTACACTAACACTAGGAGTTCTCGACGATCTCAGTTTCTGTTGGTAGTGTGCAGTACTTTTAAAAGATACATTGTGTAGGTAAATGTGGCAACAGACACCCTAGGTGTACACGATAATTAACAGAGAATATATCATGTAACATCCGCGGACGGCGCGGGAACCACCAACCCAGCACGTGCTGCAGTTTTAATATCCATCACGTCCATAAGCACGGAAGATAGCGCACAAGATTTCACAACTTACAAAAGTCAAAAGAATTTCGTTAAAGTTATCGGTTATCTGCTGCAGCTTCTGACAGGGATGGTAGTGTCGAACAACAGTGTGTGTGCAATTGCAATATTTGGGGGCGACGTACCAAAATACCTTGTTTAATTAACAAATAAATTCACATCAAAGTATCATAATGATTATATACGTTGTTTCTATTTAATTGGGTGCGTCGCCCATCGAGAGACAGTACAGAGCTGGGCGTCTCTCGTTAGCTGTGGTGTGGTACCCGTCCGCACAGCCTTGCCTAGGTCAGTACAGACCCAGCAGGCCGCGTTGTGAGGAACGCCGTACTTATGTCAAAATATCAAACAATCGGAGGGAATGAACAACGACAGATACACGTGGTAAGGAATACACAGTCGAGTGGGAGGCTCCACAAACTCCTCCTTACTTACTCATACAATCGTATCAAACTTCACCGCGTTACTCCGTAGGATTTAATTCAATATAATCGCTGTTCCCGTACACGAGCAGACCAAGTCTAGCCCGGCAGTGTTTAGGAAATTATACTAACTCGTTGCTTTTTTAACATCTAAAAGTCAGAGAAATCATATTAGAGGGGACGGATATTGCTCCTCAACTCAACCAGCACGACTCGGCTTCAGACGTCAGTGGGGACAGGTCGGATAATTAAAACCTAGGAAATACAAAGGACTCATCTTCCGATACCAAGACATGTGACTTCTTGTGACAGAGTTAGATGGTCATACAGTTCTGTTATATAGCAGGTCACCTTGTTCGATAGCAACCGAAACCACATGCCTCCCAGTGGTCGGTCAAGGTCAGTGATACTGAAGACGGTCGGCCAAGATTTCTGTGACGTAGTTTGATAATTGTGTGACATTGGACGTTGTGTTTAGAGACATGGTAACCCCTGGTCTATTTTTTGGGGTGGCCACTTTCCTCGTGGTCCTGGCCGGATATTGTGACGGACAAGAACCACCGGCAGAGAAGCGTCTCCATAGCGACCTGTTGGTGCGGGGTAGATACAGCAAACTCATCCGTCCTTCCGGTACTGACGGAAACAGTAGCGTCCAGAAGCTGACGGTCAAACTGGGCATGCGCCTCACACAGCTTCTCAACATGGTAAGTATTTCCGGGTTTATTTTTGTTTTGTGTTAATGGGTTTCTGTATTTGTTTATAAACATGCTTTTAGTAAATTAGATGAAGCAAACTTTCTGCGATGAAATGTAATGCATATTACCATTAAAACGACAAATATGATCACTCTTTCAGAGAGGCAACGATGGACATCGACGTTGGTTTTACCCTTATCAATATAATTTAATTTGTATTCCATTTCTTAATTGAATTACTCTTCCCTAACTTACTGAAATTTCTATAATTGATGTTTCCAGGCTTTGACCCGCGTTTGAACAAAAAGATCAATATTCATTGAACAATTTAAGCAAATAGTTACAAATGTGTGTGTTGAGTTCTTGAAAATGTCAATACAATGTATTGTATATATATATGCATACAGTTTAATAGTAAAACACTTGTCTCTTTACCTTGTAACAAAATTGGAGCAGTTTGATTACTGCTAGCGTACTACAGTATTCGATTGAGCAGAACAGCTTACTAGTCATGTTAACCTAATCCGTTTTAAATGATGTTTAGTCTATGATAACATTTTCTCAGGTTTAAATTTTGGCATATGTACATAATTGTAATATACCTATTTAAGTGTAAGTGGTTAGTGTTAAGGAGGTCCAAAGGAAGCAAATCATACTACGACTTTCTCTGATCGTAGGGCGAGCTAGTAAACATTTAAATGTTATAAAATAAAATAAAAACATTGTATAGCGTTTAAGTGGTTGTCTGAAGATTAAAAGCTAATTATGTCTGTCGGGGGTTATTTCAGAAATGTATGCACTACCTGCCTGTAGAATAAATCATGTGTGTGTTTGTTGTTTGTATGTATATATATAGATAAGACCGTACCAGGGTACCGTTCACCAATACACAACAATGGTCCATTGTTTAGTTAGCATTCAGATATGTTACTTTCACATATGTGCGGTGTGTTTTATGCAAGCCAGCGAAAGAAGCTGTTTTAACGGAAGTATTAAAAAAGCCATTCTCCTTACATAAGGACCGTTATCATCCCTCCTGATAGCGTTACGGCACACTAGCTAGAGGCACATTAAACCGAAGTGTCGATATCATACCTGTCTGCCACATTCCGTAAGGAAACTTCACACAACTACGTGGGTACAAAACAACATAGGTCCTAAACCACTTTGATGTGTACAAATATTTAAAGAATGCCATTTAAGAACCTATTACGATGTTTTGAAAAAAATACATAAAAAGTTGTGTATTCGACGTGCAATTTCATGCAACTCTGAAGTGGTGGTATTCTGTCGAGCCGTTTGTTAGCCCAGCACCAACAGTATTTGTAGTTCTATCTCCATATGCCGTGTCCTCAGATACAGATGCGTAATGTTTATCTATTAATAGTATACATTTGTTCTCTGAACGTCCATACTCTGTTTAATATCATAATATGTTTCATAATGTGAACGGGCATCTGTTTTGTCCCAAGTATCTCGCAAACCGTAGTCGAAATGTCTCCATGTAAATTAAAGTTCTGTACCCTGTGTTCATACGGATCGGGAGTTAAAGATTAAGAAGGAATATCGTGCATTTTGAAGAAAACATGCAATCGTTCACGAACTTGTTTGATAAGTGGTAACGACCCACATGTACAATGTCATACATGGCCTCACAGTAATTTGAATGTCCCACCAGTACAATAAGGTCATATAGCGGTAGTCGTAACAACTCATCTGCCCAATGAAGTCATACAGGGTCAAACGATAAACTTAACGGCTCAAATTTAAAATCAGGTCGTATAATGGTATTGGTAATGGCTCATCAGCAAAATTCAAAATTAATATTGGCCAAACGGTAGTCTTAAAGGCACCTCTGTACAATGATGTCATACAGCGGCAAACGGTAGTCTTAAAGGCACCTCTGTACACTGATGTCATACAGCGCTAAACGGTAGTCTTAAAGGCACATCTGTACAATGGTGTCATACAGCGCCAAACGGTAGTCTTAAAGGAACATCTGGACAATGGTGTCATACAGCGCTAAACGGTATTCTTAAAGGCGACTCTGTACAATTACGTCATACAGCGCTAAACGGTAATCTTAAAGGCACCTCTGTACAATGATGGCATACAGCTCCAAACGGTAGTCTTAAAGGCACCTCTGTACCATGATGTCATACAGCGCTAAACGGTAGTCTTAAAGGCGCCTCTGTACAATGACGTCATACAGCGCTAAACGGTAATCTTAAAGGCACCGCTGTACAATGATGTCATACAGCGCCAAACGGTAGTCTTAAATGCACCTCTGTACAATGATGTCATACAGCGCTAATCGGTAGTCTTAAAGGCACCTCTGTACAATGATATCATACAGCGCCAAACGGTAGTCTTAAAGGCCCCTCTGTACAATGATGTCATACAGCGCTAAACGGTAGTCTTAAAGGCGCCTCTGTACAATGACGTCATACAGCGCTAAACGGTAGTCTTAAAGGCGACTCTGTACAATGACGTCATACAGCGCTAAACGGTAGTCTTAAAGGCGCCTCTGTACAATGACGTCATACAGCGCTAAACGGTAGTCTTAAAGGCGACTCTGTACAATTACGTCATACAGCGCTAAACGGTAATCTTAAAGGCACCTCTGTACAATGATGGCATACAGCTCCAAACGGTAGTCTTAAAGGCACCTCTGTACGATGATGTCATACAGCGCTAAACGGTAGTCTTAAAGGCACCTCTGTACAATGGTGTCATACAGCGCCAAACGGTAGTCTTAAAGGAACATCTGGACAATGGTGTCATACAGCGCTAAACGGTAGTCTTAAAGGCGCCTCTGTACAATGACGTCATACAGCGCTAAACGGTAGTCTTAAAGGCGACTCTGTACAATGACGTCATACAGCGCTAAACGGTAATCTTAAAGGCACCTCTGTACAATGATGTCATACAGGGCTAAACGGTAGTCTTAAAGGCACCTCTGTACAATGGTGTCACACAGCGCCAAACGGTAGTCTTAAAGGCACATCTGTACAATGCGTCATACAGCGCTAAACGGTAGTCTTAAAGGCACATCTGTACAATGGTGTCATACAGCGCCACACGGTAGTCTTAAAGGCACCTCTGTACAATGATGTCACACAGCGCCACACGGTAGTCTTAAAGGCACATCTGTACAATGATGTCATACAGCGCTAAACGGTAGTCTTAAAGGCACATCTGTACAATGGTGTCATACAGCGCCAAACGGTAGTCTTAAAGGCACATCTGGACAATGGTGTCATACAGCGCTAAACGGTAGTCTTAAAGGCGACTCTGTACAATGACGTCATACAGCGCTAAACGGTAATCTTAAAGGCACCTCTGTACAATGATGTCATACAGCGCCAAACGGTTATCTAAATGGCCCATCTGTATCAGGTCATAGAAGGCCACACGGTAATCTGAATGCCTCATCTGTATACTAAGGTCATACAGGACAACATAACATATAATGTCCTACCTGTTTCCGAAGGTCACACAGGGCCAAACGGTAGTATTAACGGTCCATATACACTGATGTTATACAGGGCCACACAGTAGTCATATTGTACCGGTCATAAACACTATGATATTATACAGGGCCACACGGTAGTCTTATTGTACTGGTCACATGCACTATGATGTTATACAGGGTCACACGGTAGTGTTATTTTACCGCTTATATACACTATGATGTTATACAGGGCCGCACAGTAGTCTTATTGTACCGGTCATAAACACTATGATATTATACATGGCCACACAGTAGTCTTATTGTACTGGTCATATACACTATGATGTTATACAGGGCCGCACAGTAGTCTTATTGTACCGGTCATAAACACTATGATATTATAAAGGGCCACACGGTAGTCTTATTGTACTGGTCACATGCACTATGATGTTATACAGGGTCACACGGTAGTCTTATTGTACCGGTCATATACACTATGATGTTATACAGGGTCACACGGTAGTGTTATTTTACCGCTTATATACACTATGATGTTATACAGGGCCACACAGTAGTCTTATTGTACCGGTCATATACACTATGATGTTATACAGGGTCACACGGTAGTCCTATTGTACCGGTCGTATACACTACGATGTTATACAGGGTCACACGGTAGTCTTATTGTACCGTCCATATACACTATGATGTTATACAGGGCCACACAGTAGTCTTATTGTACCGGTCATATACACTATGATGTTATATAGGGTCACACGGTAGACTTATTGTACCGGTCATTTACACTATGATGTTATACAGGGCCACACAGTAGTCTTATTGTACCGGTCATATACACTATGATGTTATACCGGGCCGCACAGTAGTCTTATTGTACCGGTCATATACACTATGATGTTATATAGGGTCACACGGTAGACTAAGTGTACCGGTCATATACACTATGATGTTACACAGGGCCACACAGTAGACTTATTGTACCGGTCATATACACTATGATGTTATACAGGGCCGCACAGGAGTCTTATTGTACCGGTTATATGGTCACACGGTAGTCTTATTCTACCTTATTGTACCGGTCATTTACACTATGATGTTATAAAGGGTCACACGGTAGTCCTATTATACCGGTCGTTTACACTATGATGTTATAGAGGGTCACACGGTAGTCCTATTATACCGGTCGTTTACACTATGATGTTATACGGGATCACACGGTAGACTAAGGGTACCGGTCATATACACCAGGATGTTATACATTGCCATACAGTAGTCTTATTATACCGGTCATATACACTATGCTGTTATACAGGGCCACATAGTAGTCTTATTGTACCGCTCATATACACTATGATATTATACACGGTCACACGGTAGTCTTACTGTACCGGTCATATACACGATGATGTTATACAAGGCCAAACGGTAGTCTTAAAGGCACCTTTGTACAATGATGTCATACAGTGCCAAACGGTAGTCTTATTGTACAGGTCACATACACTATGATGTTATTCTGTACAATGATGTCATACAG